TCGGGGGCCCCAGCAGGAGAGAGCCCACGGTGGAGTGAGGGGAGGAGCCCGGACCCGGGCCCCTGGGACGACAGGGCCGAGGGCCGGCCGAGAGTCGCGGCCAACTGCTGGCGGCCCCGGGCAGAGCGGGGCCTCCCTCACCACCTGGGGTGACCGGGCACTGCCCCCGACAAGCCCCTGGCCGCTGCAGAAGGTGCACTGAAGGCCCGGCCACGTGGGTGGAGCGGGTGGACGCGGGAGGAGTCCCCCGAGCCCGGTTGCTGTCAGCAGGCGGCTCTGCCCTGGCCCCTTCGCCTGGGGGCCACTGAAGCCGAGCTGACCCCTGAGTCAGCGGCTTCTCAGTGACCGTGAGGGACAAAGTGCTCTGTGCCTGCATCTGTGGCGCAGCTCAGGACGGACCGCAAAGGGCCACATCAGGCCAGCGCCGCGGGGCAGCGCCGGCCCTGGGGCCAGGGCAGGGGTGGGAGGCGGAGGGAGGCGGGTCGCGCCCGGGGCGGGTGTACCCCGCGAGACCGCCCTCAAGGCCACGCTCCAGTGCAGACACCTGGAAGAGCCCAAGGGGGCACCGGGCAGGAGGATGGACAGTCTCCTGCTAGGGCCCCAGGAGGGTCTGGGCGGCCTCGCGGGCCCTGAGGAGGAGCAGAATGAAAGGAAATGGAGGGGCGGCGGGCGGGGGCAGGGGCGCCCTGAAAACTGGACTGCGCAGTGGGCGGCCCGGGCGGAGGAGGACGGGGCGGGGCAGCGCGTGGGGAGACTCCGCCTCCCGAGGAGGACAGACACTTGGGTGCGGTGAATGCAGAGACCCGCCGCGCACCCTGCAGACCAACCAGGGGCCCCCAGAGGTGCAGAAGGGGCGCCGCGGGGGCCCTCAGCGTGCGGGCGGAGGCAGCAGGCGGTTGTCGCTCAGACTCCTACACCTGTAAAACTGCCCCGTGCCCCCCTCAGGGCGCTCTGGCTAAGCCTGCTGGGGCTCGGTGCCGCCCTGCGCCTGGCTGGCCTCTGCGCACGGGGCGGGCAGGGAGCCTTGAAGCACTGGGAGCGCACCCCGCAGCCGCACCCCGCAGCCCAGCCGCAGCGGAGGCGCGAGGGCCCCACATCCAGCCGCCTTCTGCGGAAATGCAGATTGAGACCTTCGTGACGAAAGGCCCTAAGGCCCATCGGATCCCGGCACCCCCCCCGTCGGGTCCAGTGGCCCCAACAGGCCCACCTCCCGTGGCCCTGGGCACCGGCGCCGGCCACAGAGCCCCTGCCCGGCTCCCCGCCCCCACGCTGCTGTCTTGACCACCCCCGTGGACACTGGAAGGCACTGGCTCGGGGGAGGGCGGGAGGGCGGGCAGCGTCTGCGCGGAGGACACA